GTAGCTGTTTTCCTCTTGAGGCTCCCTCGGGGCAAATTTGGAGGTGGTGGTGTGTGTGTTATTRTAAAAAAAACACAATAAGGATGAAAGGCAGCGGTACTCTCTCTTCCCATTCTTCTGTCTCCTCTTTTTTTTTCTTCTCTTTGCTTTACCCTGCTACTCATCGATGCTCGACACGAGTGCCTTGGCGTTTGCGTGTGTGGCTTGAATTTCTATGAACGTCTCCCAGACGGGGGGACAACAGGGGCCGAGTCATTGATATGTGCAGGAGGACTCGGGATAAACAGCCCACGCTGCGCGGTGTTACGCCAGCCTGCCTGATACATTTTGATTGAGTGAAGACAGAGAGGTGGGATGAGAAGGCAGTGGAATTGGAGGAGACTAAAAGCAGGGGTGAAATGACACAAAGGAAGCGGCTTTCACCTGCTTCTTCAGACAAAAACGAAGGATTCATGCAAATGTTAAGAGCCACACATGGTGCATCMATAAACAAAATCGTGCTTTAGAGGAGAACAAACAAAAAGAGGGGGGCGGACCTAGTCATTGGCTCTTTTGATTTCCTTCCTGATCATCCGTTTTCTTTTATTGCTGTTTTGCTCGTACGGTTTTTGTTTGTCTGACATGGTCAGCCCTCTAATGGACTAGAAATTTGTGTTGGAAAGAGAGTCCCTTTTACGTCCTCTCAGAGTTTTTCTGTCAGAGAACCAAAGTAAGAGGTGGCGGCAGCACACTGTGCCACTTATGGCTGCATCAGGATCAGCCACCCGAGTGTCACTGAATTGCCTCGTGCATCATTTCAGCTTTGTTCACCAAGAGAGGGAGTTGTGTGCGGCAATAGTCGTGGTCCACAGTGTGTTTTTAGCCTCAAATGGGTAGATGGTGTCACTGGACAGACTATTGTTTCTGAAAAAAACATTATACCACTTRATGAATCATTTTAAAGCTTTTTTAATGGACCTCTGCTTGTAATTCAATTGTCGTTGACCTGACTTTTTTATTAAAGTTTTGTTCACAAACACCTTAAACAAGAGGCAGAGAGGGATTGAACAATAATGTAGCAAAAAACTGACAAAGAATTAACATTGTAAAGAAAATTTGATGACAGCTGACAACATCTGAAAATAATACCTAGAAATAAACTGACCATAACCTCTTTCACCATGTATCTCATTGTGTCACAAGGAAAAAATTAATTAAATTTAAAAAATAGCTGAAAGCCAATAAGTAGCTTTGTTGTGTTGGATCCAGGAAATCCCACATTTAATTAGATAAAAAGCCTGACAAGAGTTCACACTTACAGGTGGGAAGTGGTGGAGCGACACAGTGCAACAGCCTTATGA